TAAAGGAAAATATCATTGAGGGGGAAAAAAATTTATGGGGGGGGGGCAGGGCAATGCACACATTTCCTGTTCATTAGCTGCATCCCAGCATGGAAATCTCCTGGAGAAGCATTTCCCTCTTTTAAAAGAGATAATACAGCCTTTTACATAATTTGATATAGAAAAATGCCATTTTTTATTTCAAGCAACTGTGATGTGGTTTTTTTTTCTTCATTAGGGAGACATTTTTAGCTGTTCATCAAGCTCCAGAACTGTCCTGGGGCAGAAAAGTCCCCCAAGAAAGCGATGAGACCTTAATTAATGAGCTCAAAAAGAATTGTTTTGCCCCGAAGTGAAGACTCTTAAGGAATGTAAACACCAAGGGCAGGTTCAAAAATTTCCTTGATTTGCAGGAGGAGCAAGAGTGAGGAATGTGTTGGAGAAACAAAAGGAGAAATATAATGATGTGTGACTATTAGGGAAGAGGAAGTCATTTCTGCCCTGATGACCCTTTCCTTACTGGCATGGATCATCACGAATTATGATATAGACAAGATAATTAGAAATTAAACAGTAACTCCTAAAGCTGTTCACAGAGCTATAAGCTATGTTTATTTCACCTCATGTTTACCATGAACCATGCCATTATACTTATTATTTTTCAATATACAGTAGGGTCTCGCTTATCCAACCTTTGCTTATCCAACATTCTGTATTATCCAACGCAGTCTGCCTTCCACCTGGATCCACAGCTGTTTCAATATATTACAGTGTTTTGGTGCTAAATTCGTAAATACAGTAATTACTACATAACGTTACTGTGCACTGAACTGCTTTCTCTGTCGATTTGTTGTAAAAAGTGATGTTTTGGTGCTAAATTTGTAAATCATAATGTAATTTGATATTTAATAGGCTTTTCCTTAATCCCTTCTTATTATCCAACATTTTTGCTTCTCCAACGTTCTGTCGGCCCATTCATGTTGGATAAGCAGACTCTACTGCATATATTTTGGAAACATTATGTGAACCTTTTAAAGAAATGTGAGATCTAAAAAAAACATGGATTGGATCCAACTTTCTATAGCTGAAATCCAAAAGGAGATTTATTAAATATGGGACTGACATGTTGATTTACGATTTAGCAAATTATCCAATGGGTCCACTCTAGATAGGGCCAGCAGTTAATTCATACCCATGTACAGAAACTTCACTTGAGGGAGTTGGCACTGGCAAAAGGCTTGGGGGTGATTTTCTCCCATTCCCCTTCTGATCTGGAGGGTTGAGATACCCTCTTGAACAATGTGGGTGATGGTTCAGATTATAGGATACATTTATTACAATCCTCTTCCTTAGTAGGAGAGTCTGCTTGATCTCAATCCTTCTTTAAAACTGAGGAAGCCCCTCAATTCATGGAAAAGTCATTCTAGATGCAACTCAGGGCCCTGATTCCAGGTTTGCTGCTTTAAACTGGATTATATGAATCCGCACTGCCAGATAATCTGGGATAAACACAAAACCTTGGATCAGATCCTGGGATATAGGACCTGTCTGGAAGGGCCCTCAGTGGGGCCTTCATGTCAGAAGCACATTTTTACCATATTTACGTGACAAGCTGGGGATAGGGACTGTCTTGTTTGAAAACCTTTGTAATGTCAGATTATGTGGACATCCTGTGATGTTTGACCTGCGTTGGTTCATTTACATGTGCAAGTCATCGCTTGAGATTTTTTTTTTTTTGGTCGTGTCAGGAGCAAGTCGCTTCTGGTGTGAGAGAATTGGCCGTCTGCAAGGACGTTGCCCAGGGGACGCCTGGATGATTTTGATGTTTTTTATCATCCCTGTGGGAGGCTTCTCTCATGTCCCCGCATGAGGAGCTGGAGCTGATAGATGGAGCTAATCCGCCTCTCCCTGGATTCGAACCTGCGACCTGTCGTTCTTCAGTCCTGCCAGCACAGGGGTTTAACCCACTGTGCCACCAAGGACTCCATCGCTTGAGATAGTCATGCAACAATGTTGCCTGTGTGAAACAGTTTAGTGTGTGCATACATGTTACTATCAAGAAGAGGGACAAAATGAAAAAAAAAGCTGAGATCTTTTCGTTTTCACAAGGCAGGGGACTTCACTTTTCAAAGATAACTCTCCTCCTGACCTTTTTATTGCTGCCATTCTCCAGTATAAAAGCACACTGCGCAACAATCCTTTCTTCTTTGCGCTGTTCATAAAATGCTCTTCCACTAGCAAAGAAATCAAGGCATATCATATGGAAGTAGCTCTCAAGAAAGTAGCACTCAAAAAGAAATCAAGATATGTGAAAGCAGTTTTGAACACTGATGCATTCATAACTATTTTGTGAAAATGAGAGAAGCGTTCTAAAGCAGGGCTTTTATAATAGTTTCAAAAATATAAAAGCCATTTTAGAATGGGAATATTTCTGTCCTTTATGTTCATAGGCCTTGAAATAGCTTTCAAATGTTAACAGTAAATACATTTTTGGAAGATGATTTTTATGGTTAAAAGCTGTGCTGTGTTGTCTCATAAAATAAGGACTGAAACTTTCATTGTAGTTTTTGTTTACTATTAGTATGCTCTGCTGTTGCTGGTGTATATCCATTCCTTTTTTACTGATATGCTCAGACTGACTCACTAGTAGAAACACATTTCATAGTGCTTAATCTGAAGCAGACAGTACATTAATGGTAGAATCATAAGTGTGGCAGTGTGGATATGAAAAGGAACTGGGCCAGCTTTGCCCTTTTAACTTCTTATTGATGTTATGTGCCTTCAAGTGATTCTGACATATGGTGAGACTACATGAGGATTTTCTCTTCAGAAGAGGCTCACCATTGTCTTCCTCTGCAGTTAAGGAAGTGTGATGTGGCCAAGGTCACCAAGTAGGATTCCATGTCTCAGCAGAGATTCAGACCTTGATCTCCCAGAATCCAATATGCAATCCACTACACCATGCTAGCTCTCTTGTAAATCCAGCAGCAGCATAAAGACTCTCAAAAGTAAATGCCAGCCATAAAGGATCCTTAGCACGATGTCAAGAAACAAGCACTTCTAACAGCTAGAGAATATTCATGCTCCATCATACAATCTCAACATTGTGTACTTGGTCTTAATCTCCAGTATTCCTGGAGTCCCAGACAGCCACTTGGCATCTCTCTTTTTCCCAAGATCTGGGCATTAAACTCAAAGTTTTGGATTTGCTGTTTATTTATTTTTTTGCAATTTCTCCCAATTCACTAGTTTAATCAATTAACATTAAAACTGAATATAAGTTTTAGTGAATTAGAATTTGTTAGGGTGGGCATCTATTTGTCACATTCAGAACAGATAGATTTTCTACCTTGATGAAAAAAAGAACCACAGAAAGTTCATCATAATGCTCTGCTATTAGGCAGGTTAATTTGTATGATTCATTGGGAAGGCAGCAGGGAAAGGATGCAATATAACTTTCTGGAGACCAGATCAATGATGTGGGTTTGAGAAATAAAATAAAAAGAATAGAAAAAAAGGAGGAGTGAATCTTGGGATGGAATAGGGGCATTTATTTCCTCAAACAGGCAGGACTTCTTAATAATAATATCAATAATAATAATAATAATAATAATAATAATAATAATAATAGGTTATTTGTAACCCGCCCTCTCTCCCTGAAGGGACTCAGGGCGGCTTTCAAACATAAAAAATAAAATTGGCTAACATTCAATGCCATCAAATCAACATTAATACATTTATACATGTAGATTAAAACAAATTTTAAAATATTGGCTGGTAATACGAATCAAACAGTCAGGCATCATGGAACATACAGTCAGGCAATTAAAACTGTGATATATATATGTGTTGCTGTTGTTGTTTATTCATTCAATCAATTGCTTCCGACTCTTTGTGACCTCATGGACTAGCCCACGCCAGAGCTACCTGTCAGCCATGGCCACTCCAGCTCCTCCAAAGTCAACCCAGTCACTTCAAGGATACCAAGGATCTTGCCCTTGGTCGGCCCCTCTTCCTTTTCCTTTCCATTTCCCCCAGTATCATTGTCTTCTCCAAGCTTTCCTGTCTTCTCATGATGTGGCTACCCCTCTATTCCGCTTTGGTTAGACCACACCTGGAATATTGTGTCCAATTCTGGGTACCACAATTCAAGAGAGATATTGCAAGCTGGAATGTGTCCAGAGGAGGGCGACTAAAAATGATCAAGGGTCTGGAGAACAAGCCCTATGAGGAGCGGCTTAAGGAGCTGGGCATGTTTAGCCTGAAGAAGAGAAGGCTGAGAGGAGATAACCATGTATAAATATGTGAGAGGAAGCCACAGGGAGGAGGGAGCAAGCTTGTTTTCTGCTTCCCTGGAGACTAGGACGCAGAACAATGGCTTCAAACTACAAAAGGAGATTCCATCTGAACATGAGGAAGAACTTCCTGACTGTGAGAGCTGTTCAGCAGTGGAACTCTCTGCCCCAGAGTGTGGTGGAGGCTCCTTCTTTGGAAGCTTTTAAACAGAGGCTGGATGGCCATCTGTCAGGGGTGATTTGAATGCAATATTCCTGCTTCTTGGCAGGGGGTTGGACTGGATGGCTCATGAGGTCTCTTCCAACTCTTTGATTCTATGATTCTCACGGTCCAAGTCACTCTCAGAATTTTCGTCCAACACCACACTTCAGAAGCGTCTATCTTCCGTCGCTCAGCCTTCCTTAAGGTCCAGCTTTCAAATCTATAGGTTACTACGTGGAATGCCATTCTTCTGAATGTCAGGGTTTTTAGGCTTTAAAGGTAGATGTACCTCCATCAGAAAGAATTTTTTTGGAATCGTTTTGAAAAGGCACAGTGTGACTCCCTTCGGTAACCTCTTTCTTCACTGATGATGTTCTGGGCTGATTTATATTGTATATTAGGGTATAAAATACAACTTTCTATAATATTATTGGGGCAAGCTGCAATTAATGAATTCCTTTGTAATCTTGCTATGCAGTTGGATAATAAGGTGAAATGTTTTTCTTAAACGCAACTACTATTACTTTATTTCTTGGATTCTCCCTCTCCTATATGCTTTTCAGTCTGCTCTTTACTTTCCTTCACATCCTTCTTCATGCACTCCCTTTTAATGATACAATTAAGTTAAGATGATTCTAGACAAGTGTTGACTTATTATCTACACCTGATAAATGAAAATTGAGGATGTCACAGATTGAATTTGGGACCCTAGTTTCTGTATACAACACATGTGTTCCATCAGTGCTACTTGTACGAGAGTGGGTCAAAAAGTTTTGCCTCCTGTGTCATAAAAACATTATGAATGAACATATAACAGCAGAAGTTACTACAGATCATAGCCTGAACTATCCTCTACAGAAAACTACCATTCAACATAGTCATCATCCATTTGTACACATTTGTGCCATGATTTAGCCCAGTCATCAAAATCATTCCAGAAATATTCAGTGTTTTGCTTTGTGACCCATGATTTCCACTTGCCTCCTCCGATCATCTTCAGTCAATTGCTTGGGAACCCACTTAGCACACACTCTGTGATATCCCAAATCAGCAATGATTCCTTGGGCAGAGCCATATGAGACGTTCAATACATCAGCAACATTCTGAACTGTAATACGTCTGTCTCTTCGAATCAATTCATCAGCACGTTCTCGATTTGCATTTGTGACTGATGTTGATGGCCGGCCGCTTCTCGGTTTATCTACAATTTCCGTTTCTCCGTTTTCAAACTTCTTCACCCAACGCCGCACATTGCTGATGTTCATTACAGTGTCCCCATAAACATTCTTCAAGCGACTATGGATTTCCTTAGGTGCACAACCTTCTTTTGCCAGAAATTCAATTACGACTCTTTCTTTTAGCTTCAGATTCATAGTTCTAATCAGTCAATCTGAAAAAGAAAAGACTGTATCAGTAGAGTAAGGTTACCTCTATCATATCATGCATAGATAGTCCAGTAGCTGTGAAAGAAATAAAAGTTAGAGTGATTGAGGCATTGCTCTATCCTTCCTCATTGGAAGGATAGAAGCAGGAAGAACACACTTATTCATGAATGGAAGGGGTTGTAAGATGGGAATCCCTTGGCCTTGGGTGACCCAATCAGTTACTTGGCCTTGGGTGACCCAATCAATTTTGGACTCTACCATTTCCAAGAGCCACCATATTATGGGTTTTGTAGTCAATTTGGGATAAAATCCCAGGTTAAAGGAAGGCAACTTTAAAAGGAAAAAATGGTCCCCTTTGAAGGAATGTATAACAAAATGTGTTACCCTATAATCCCCCATGGTGCTGTTCTCCATAAACCCCATGCTCAGGTCCAATACTAACATTTCATGTAACTGCAGTCTTGGCACGAATATATGTCTTGCAGATATTGGGGTCCTATGTTAGGATTGTCCGTGCCATCATATTTCCCATTTCTATGTATGAAAATAAAAGCTGAACAGTGAATAAAGCTGATAGGAAACAAATAACCTTATTTTAATGTGGTGCTGAAGAAGAGTTCTATGGATACCATAGATTGCTAAAAAGGCAAATAAATGGATCTTAGAGCAAATCGAGCCGGAATTCTCCCTAGAAGCCAAGATGATTTAGCGGATACTGCTGTACAGTAGCCATATAATGAGAACACAAGAATCACCAGAAAAGACAATAATGATTTGTTAGGTAGAATGCAGTATGAAATGAGGAAGACCATTTCATCTCTGTTAATTTTTAAATTCTGTATGTATATATTTTATCTTTTACAATTTAGCTGTAAATCGCCTAGAGCATTCTCGGATGGAGGGCGATTAATAAGTAATTAAATATGATGATGATGATATTCCAGATAGATTATCTCAATCAAGGAAAACCATGGCCCTGAATCTGTAAGACCTGAGCTGGGCTGTTGATGATGGGTAACTTGAAGGTCTCCCATCACAGGTATGTCATGTCAAAGTCAACTTGATTGCAGTTATTATTATTATTATTACTACTACTACTTTATTTATACCCCACCATTCTCCCCACGGAGATTCAAAGCAGCTAACAATCCCACAAGTGCTATACAAAGGTTAAAAAACAATTACATAGTAACAATGTGGTAAAGCAGAATTAAAAATAAATTAAATACACTTGAAATGGCCTTTAAAACTTATACCCCTCACCAATGAAGATCCGCATAGTTAAAGAAATGGTATTCTCCATAGTAATCTACGGATGTGAGAGCTGGACCATAAGGAAGACTGAGCGAAGGAAGATAGATGCTTTTGAACTGTGGTGTTGGAGGAAAATTCCGAGAGTGCCTTGGACTGCAAGAAGATCCAACCAGTCCATACTTCAGGAAATAAAGCCCGACTTCTCATTAGAGGGAAGGATATTAGAGACAAAGTTGAAGTACTTTGGCCACATCATGAGAAGACAGGACAGCTTGGAGAAGATAATGATGCTGGGGAAAATGGAAGGAAAATGGAAGAGGGGCCGACCAAGAGCAAGATGGATAGATGGTATCTTTCAAGTGACTGGCTTGACTCTGAAGAAGCTGGGGGTGGTGACGGCCAACAGGGAGCTCTGGCGTGGGCTGTTCCAGGAGGTCACAAAGAGTCGGAAGAGACTGAACAAATAAATAACAACAATCTCACCTAATCTCCCCAAAGCCTGCACCTTCTCCTTCTCCAAGTGTCAGTTAACAACAGCAATATCTTATTGCCAGCTTACTAAAATTTGATCTCAGTAAGATAAATATATATAGGGTTGAGCTTCATGGCCTGTAAATGGGCTGCAGTAAGCTAGGAATTGTGAGCCAGGCTTTGATGGGCTGCATTGCATAACCTCCAGCATTTCAGAGGAAAACAGGGACACATTTAGAGATACTCTCACAAACACCTCAGCAAGCGAGAGTCCAAAAGTGGCAGGTAAAAACCCGGAACCTCAATCAGTGGCTGAGACCGGATGAGAAACCCGCTCCTGAGCACACAGAAGACTGGGCTACTTGGAAGGTGCTGGACAGGCTACGCTCTAGCACCACGAGATGCAGAGCCAACCTTAAGAAATGGAACCACAAAATGGATTCCATGACATGTGAGTGTGGAGAAGAGCAAACCACAGACCACAGAAGTAAATTACAGGGGGCGGTCTACCCCCCTGTTTAAGGAACTCCATTGATTGTCGTTCATTTTCTGGTCTCAATTCAAGGTGCAGGTTATTACCTACAAACCCCTGAATGGTTCGGGACTGCCCACGCTCATGACCGTATTTCCTTTTACAATCCTGCACAATCTCTTCAATCCTCAGGGGAAGCCCTCCTTTTGCTCCCACCTCTATCACAAGTACGACTTGTGGGGACAAGTGAGAAAGCCTTCTCCATTGTGGCTCCTTGCCTTTGGAACTCACTACTTAGAGAGATTAGGCAAGCCCCCACCCTGGCGACCTTTAAGAAAGACCTAAAAACCTGGCTCTTCCAGCATGCCTTTGACGAGTGAACACATATCCCCATAACATGTCAGTCCCAACTATAGTTCTGTCCTCATGACACACTTTTCGTTGTCTTTCATGAAGGCTCAATCCCATTGTTCGCCCCTTCTGAGCTCCCCCACTGATACATACTTCTTCATTTACTTATCTCACCCAGGGCTTTATCAATCTTATTCTGTGCATTTCGCCCTCCCAACGTGCTTTTATTTTATTTCTTCATCACGTTATTTTGCATCTGTTTATTTCATTTTCTGATATTTTCTGTATTTTATTTTGATGTTATTATTTGCTGTTTGTATTTTATTTTATTTTGTACTATCATTCTGGGCGTCGCCTCATTTTAGCTGTCCCAAGTCCCCTTTGGGGAGATGATGGCGGGGTATAAATAAAGATTATTATTATTATTATTATTATTATAGAAGATGGCTTAGAAAGGCATAGATTATTAAAGATTATTATTATTATCATCACAGAAGATGGCTTTGAAAGGCAGCAGATCACAGGAGCTGTCTTCATAGATCTGTCAGCAGCTTATGATACTGTAAACCACTGCCTCCTCCTGAAAAAAATGTATATCACAAAGGCCTACCACCTCACCTGCCTCATAGGAAATCTGCTACAAAACAGGAGCTTTTTTGTTGAGTTCCAGAGAAGTAAATGGCAAAAACAGAAGAACGGCCTGCCTCAGGGGAGCGTGCTTGCTCCATCAACATTTACACAAATAACCAGCCACTGCCAGAAGGGACAGAGAGTTTCATCTATGCTGATGATTGTGCCATTATCACTCAAGCAGGGAGCTTTGAGATGGTTGAACAGAAGCTCTCCGAAGCTCTAGGTGCTCTCACTGCCTATTACAATGAAAACCAGCCGATCCCCAATCCATCTAAAACACAGACATATGCTTTTCGCCTTAAGAACAGACAAGCATCCCGAGCTCTGAGGATTACCTAGGAAGGAATCTCACTGGCGCATTGCAGCACACCCAAATACCTGGGAGTTACTATGGACCATTCTCTGACCTACAAGAAGCACTGCCTGAATATCAAGCAAAAAGTGGGTGCTAGAAACAATATCATATGAAAGCTAACTGGCACAACCTGGGGATCACAACCAGACACAGTGAAGACATCTGCCCTTGCGCTGTGCTACTCTGCTGCTGAGTACGCATGCCCAGTGTGGAACATATCTCACCACACTAAAACAGTAGTTGTGGCTCTTAATGAGACATGCCGCATTATCACGGGTGTCTGCGCCCTACACCACTGGAGAAATTACACTGCTTAGCCGGTATTGCACCACCTGACATCCGCCGGGAAGTAGCAGCCAATAGTGAAAGAACTAAGGCAGAGACATCTACAGCTCATCCCCTGTTTGGGTATCAGCCAGAACGTCAACGACTTAAATCAAGAAGTAGTTTATTTGAGACACCAGAAGTCCACACCTCAGTACCACAGTTTGCATGAAAATTATCAGACTGATTCAAGACAGACTGAGAAGGATGCCCTGATGGAGCAGAGAATGAGGACGACTGTAAATATCCTGCAGGCACTCCATCACTAACCCCAAATAGTTTTCTAAGATCTACAGAGACACTCGCTGGAACACCTCAGCAAGCGAGAGTCCAAAAGTGGAAGGCTCAAACCCAGCACCTCAATCCGTGGGTGATACCAGATGAGAGACTCCCTCCTGGGCACACAGAAGACTGGGCGACTTGGAAGGCGCTGAACAGACTGAGCTCTGGCACCACGAGATGCAGAGCCAACCTTCAGAAATGGGGCTACAGGGTGGAATCCTCGACATGCGAGTGTGAAGAAGAGCAAACCACTGACCACCTGCTACAATGCAACCTGAGCCCTGCTACATGCACAATGGAGGACCTTTTTGCGGCAACACCAGAGGCACTCCAAGTGGCCAGATACTGGTCAAAGGACATTTAACCAAATACCAAGTTCGCAAACTTTGTGGTTTATTTGTTTGTTAAAAAACGTAATACAGCTGTTTGGCTTGCTGATGACACAATAAATAAATAAATATTATTATTACTACAATGCAACCCAAGCCCTGCCACAATGGTGGACCTTTTCACAGCGACACCAGAGGCACTCCAAGTGGCCAGCTTCTGGTCAAAGGACATTTAGCATAAAGTTTTAAAAGTTTGCTTGTATTTTTAAATGCATTTTAACTGTACCCTCAACACAATAAATAAAATTGATGTTTAAATGGAGATAGGCTTACAGCCTGAATCATTAGTGACACTTTTCAAAGACTGGAAGAAACCTCTTATAGCAGGCCTGGGCAAACCTGGGCCCTCCTGGTGTTTTGGACTTCAACTCCCATCATTCCTAACAGCCTCAGGCCCCTTGGGGCCTGAGGCTGTTAGGAATGATGGGAGTTGAAGTCCAAAACACCAGGAGGGCCCAAGTTTGCCCAGGCCTGCCTTATAGACTTTTTGTGTATGTACTACGTTATATTTCATTGTGTAGGGCCTACACTGTAGGCTGAAATCACAAACCTGGAAACGTGGCTGAGAGAGCAGCGTCTTTGCTGCTGGTTATAAACAAAATGATTATTTTTTCAAAATATTGCATAAAATTATGGTATATAACATTACCTCCAGACTACGGGCCAAAGGGTCTGACCAACGAATGCTAGGTTCTCATCGCCGACGGGTCTCATTAGCAAAGCCTGAACGCAGCGACCAATCAAATCGCTCTCCCTTCCCCGCCTCTTTTCTTTTTAGCCAATCCCGGGCCAGGCGAGCCGCAAAGACTTGTGGGGGGGGGGGGGGAGAATCTCTGCTGATCAATAGAGTGACTACGACTCCCAGGAGCCACCGCGGCCCGCCTTGGCTCTCGCGCGCTTGCGCAGTGAGGCGCCTAGGCCGGAGTGGAAGAGCAAGCAGGAACCGCAGCAAGGGAAGGAGTAGCAGCAGGGCCGGGAAGCGTGGGGTCCGCGGACGCGGCCTTCGGAGCGAGATGAGCGCCGCCAAGGAGTCCAAGGCCGAGCGTGGCGTCAAGCGAGGGGCCTCCCCTGAGGTGAGGAAAAGGCCTGCGAGGAGGAGGCGCCTCTAGGCCTCGGGCCTGTACTCCTAGCAGGCATTCCTAGCAGGCAAACTTGGGCCCTCCAAGTGTTTTGGGCATCGACTCCCAGCATTCCTCACAGCCTCAGGCCCTTTCCTGTCCCTCCTCAGCCGCTTAAGCGGCTGATGAGGGAAAAGGAAGGTGCCTGAGGCTGTTAGGAATGCTGGGAGTTGAAGTCCAAAACACCTGGAGGGCCCAAGTTTGCCCAGGCCTCTTCTAGACACTATACACGAACTGTGTGTTAATCTTAAGCCCAATATTTTCACTATTTGTGTGCATGGAACCAAGTTTGTGGGTGCTTAAAAGCTAAATTGCCACTATCTCAGCCACCTATCTGGACAGTTATGGTTTTTTGGGGCATGTTGGACTGCTGAATGAGGGATATTCAATCTGTATATTTTTAATAATGTCGTGCAGGAAACAAAGTTGGTGTGAATTGGACCGCCAGAAGGCAGAAGTGTCACTCGCTTAGCGATCCAAATTTTGGAGCATTTCAGATACCTGGATAAGAGATGTCCAACTTGTATTTGTTCTCCAATATGGCACATCGTTTGTGCCTCTTTGCTGTTTCTTTTAATTTCCCATAAACCAGTGGTTCCCAAACTGTGGTCCATAGATTAAAGCAGTGTGCCGGCAGGACTGAAGACCGACAGGTCGCAGGTTCGAATCCAGAGAGAGGCGGATGAGCTCCCTCTATCAGCTCCAGCTCCTCATGCGGGGACATGAGAGAAGCCTCCCACAAGGATGATAAAACATCAAAAATCATCCAGGCGTCCCCTGGGCAACGTCCTTGCAGACGGCCAATTCTCTCACAACAGGAGCGGTCGCTCCTGACACGACAAAAAAAATAAAAAAAAAATTGGTCCGCAAGAACTAACATACAAAATCCACAAGCATGTGGACAATTTTAACAGAAAGGAGGAAACCATGAAAATGAACAAAATCTGGCTACCAGTATTAAAAAAACTCTAAAATTACAACAGCAAAACAACAGAGAGGAAACAATCTGGGACATCTAATCACCTCTCAACAAAAGATTGCTCCAGGCACTAACAAGCTACACCAAACAACAGCCAGGCCATCGAATACTAATCAAGGTGGTCAGTTGAAACCTAGCTCCAGCAGACAAGAGTTCTTTGTCCCACCCTGGTCATTCCACAGATATATAAACCCTTTTTCCTAGTTCCAACAGACCTCACTACCTCTGAGGATGCTTGCCATAGATGCAGGTGAAACATCAGGAGAGAATGCCTCTAGAACATGACCATATAGTCTGAAAAAACCTACCACAACCCAACTAAAATATGGTTTGCAGCTTCACCATTAATACACCGTTCCAACTAGAGTGACTGGATTCGCGAAAACCTCTTATAGTGCCAAGGCTTGTTAAATATGGTTTTCTGTGGGTGATTACTGGATGGCATATGTTCTGTATCGGAAACTAGAGCCGATGTGGTCTATCCAATGCAATTTTCTGAATCAGCACCCCAAATAACCAAACCAAATCTAAATTTGACCAAAAACTGATTCGTAACCCTTTTGGTACTAAAGTTGGAGAGTGATCCCTGCTCAAAGTTATCTCTGGTTAAGTGGTCCCTGGTCAAAAATAGGTTGGGAACCACTGAGCTATATGAAAAGAGTGGAAAGCATCCATTTTTGGTCTGGATAGATCCATTTCTGATTTTCACTGAAAAGCCACTTAAAAATATTGTCAGCAACGGAACAAAGAACTACCTCCAGGCATCAAGTCAATGGAATGTTTTTAGGATTAGTCCATGCACATTACCATAATATGTATGTACATGTATATATATTTTCTAGCTGAAGGGAGCCCAAATATAGGGGATGGATGGGAAATGATCCAGACATGTCACAGGATGTTCAGTGAGCACAGAATACTGACTGTAGGAGGATAGAAGGAAAATCCACATGGTTACATGGAGTAGAACGGCTTGGATCTTGAATAGAAGCATTTTACACTGAAACAATTTGCTGCAGGTCCCAGACCAACTACCTTTATTCTACACAACAGAATCAGAATTGGGAGAAAAGTTCCTAAATTGTTCACTGTCTTCCGAGATGAGCCCAGTCAAATATTCCAGTTACAGAATGAGTCCAAAGATGGGCCAGTTTATATCTACTGGTTGCTGTCAGAAATTTCAAACATTCAGGAGACCAAGTCCAGTGCTGAACAAGAAAATCTCCCCCCCCCCCCCCGCCCCCCAATAACCAAATCAAATCTAAAGTTGACCCAGAGTTGCTGACTGAAAGGTCAGCAGTTTGAATCCAGGGAGCAAGGTGAGCTACCCCTGTTAGCCCCAGCTTGTGCCAACCTAGCAGTTCAAAAACATGCAAATATGAGTACATAAATAAGTACCACTTCAGTGGGACGGTAACAGTGCTCCCTGCAGTCATGTCAGCCACATAACCTTGGAGGCGTCTACGGACAACGCCGGCTCTTTGGCTTAGGAACAGATATTAACACCATCCCCAGTTTTGGACATGGTGAGACTTAATGTCAAAGGGAAACCTTTACCTTAACCCTTTTGGTACTAATGTTGGAAAGTGGTCCCTGGTCAAAAACAGGTTGAGAACCACTGCTGTAAACTTTCCAGGAACCAGCCTCCGTCCAAGGAACGCCATTTTGAGCAGCACTGTCCTGGATGAAACCGAGCAATTCAACCCCCAGAAAAGATGGCTAAATACATCTCTGGTATTCTGTGATAAATACAATCTGGTCTCAGGATGCATCGACACTGTAAAGCTAATGTGGTTTAACACCATGTTAACTGCTACGGCATCAAAGGAGTTGTAGTTTCTTTAGCCTTCTCTGCCAGTGTCCATATGTCACCAAACTGACTTCCAGAATTCCATAGCACAGAGCCATGGCAGTTAAAGTGGTGTCAAACTGTATTACATCTACAGTGTTGATTCACCCTAAGACGCTTGTCCCTGCCAGAGTCCCTTCTGCCTGCCTTTCTTCCCTCAGTTTATTTTTCTCCTTAGAATCATTCTTTCTCACTAGTCTGTGAAGCAACGTATGTTCATAAACAGCCCATAGTTGTTTCCTTCACAAACAACAATAAAAGAAGTCTGGATAATCTCTGATAGTGGGGAATGAGTCTGGGCAGTGAGAAAAAGATCTGGGCAGTCGGGGAGGTGAGGGAAAGGGTCTGGGCTGCAAGGAAAAGGGTTTAGGTGGTGAGGGAGGTGGGAGAGAAAGGATCTGTGCCCCAAAAGGACACTGCTGCTGTTTCCAGCAGCTCAAAATGTTAACTTCCCTGCATTTCTCAGGAGAAGCAATGAGGAGGAGGTGGGAAGCAGCATGGTGCCATGGAGCCCTTCACTATCACCCACGGAGTCCCAAGGGTTCCGTGGAGCACAGTTTGAGAACCCCTGCTCTACACCGTTCAAACTGCATTATTTGGCAGTGGAGATCCAGCTTTAGTCTTCTCTCTGCTTCTTCCACTCCTCTTCTGAAAACTTTCTTTTAGTTCAAATACAGTGCATAACTGGATGGAATCAGGTTTAGCTTAGGGTGTGAGTGCAGTCACACCAGCTGTAAATTCATATGACAAAGATCAATTAATTGGGCTTATTAGCAGTCATGCTTAGTTTATAGGTAAGTGAATAGGTTTCACTTATTTTGCCGTTTCCAGCTGTTTTAAGACAGATTCCTTAGTGTGTTTAAACATGACAGTATTCCTCTGCTTTTCTAGAAATAAGATTGTCTTCTTTACAGTCTGTATCCTATTTCTGGAGCTTTAGTTTCTATTTCTAGTTCCAGATAATGTTGACAGGAAGCTTTGTGATTTAATTGATTGAGATGTAATGATGCTTGTAAGCCGTGCATAAATCTGAATATCCTGTTTAGAATCCCAGTTATGCTTCTTAACTAGAATTGGCTGAATTGGGCGCGGGAACATGATGTAAACACAACTTATAACACAACTATTGTTATGTCATTGGAGTAAAAATGTAATGCTATGTCACATGTTGAAAAAGCGTAACAATTTCATGTTGAATGTGTGTGCATGTAACTGGTTCATAACTTTCTTCTGATGTAACCAAGGACTGTCTTCTCTCTTGCAGCCTGGATCAACCAGCTGGGAGGCAGCTGACTTAGGTAATGAAGAGAGAAAGCAAAAATTCTTAAGACTTATGGGTGCTGGAAAGGTGAGACTTGGATTTTTATTTAAGCAATTTGTTGATGTAACAAAAGAGACTTTCACTGATTGTGCTTAGTGCAGGTTTCGAATAAGAATACAAAGTTGTGGTATTCTTGCTGTAGCCAGCAATTTATATTTGACACTGGTGGCCAGATGTCACCATATAAGTCTAAGATAAGTATATCTCTGTAACAACAGACTTGTGACATTTTCAAAGATTTTAATGTATTCTGGTATAAGCTTTTGTGGATCAGAATACATAACTAAGTAGACATTAGTTCACAAAAGCTTATGCCATAATGTTATGTTTGGTGGTAAAGATGTTGCAATCAATCTTATTGTCAGGCTGTTACTTTGTTCCTATATGACTTTTCACCATCATGTATAATCACAGAGATTTACGAACGCATCTCTTTATAAACAAGTAATTTTGAACTTTTTCTCTTGCTGTTCTTTATAGCCACATGCACATGATGACCTTTCTGTGTTATGGACTGCTACACCATGTAAATAGTAGGGTCTCCGCTCATCTTGATGTCACTTTAAGGCATGCATATATATGACAGGAAAAAATAGTTCACCTGTAGCACACTCGTGTCGGTAATACTGCTGTTTAGATGTGTGTTTAAATAAGCACCTTGCCATCTGATGGATGAAATTGATATGGGAAATATACTCTGTCCACTGAGCAGGAACGACCTAACTGATATTAGAGGTAATTTGATCATAAAACAATCCTCTAAATCCTGAACAGAATAAGTTCTAATGCAGCAACTGTTCATTTTTACAACATAAATTTAAATCTAGTTACTAGGTCCAACTAGAGTAAATATATTGGCCAGAATGCCAATAGTGACAACTAATGTAGATCCATGGAATCAGTTATAGAATGGCAGGTCAACAAATAGATAAATCCAATTGATTTGATGGCTCTAGTCTAGTGAGAGTTAACATTAGTATTTAGGCCATTGAATCTGCTGTTGAATGGTAAGTGAAAACTTTATATCAATCCCATTGATACTTTGGGTATGTTCTTGTTAGAGCTAGCTGTTGGATATAGTTTTAGATAATATGCTTGATATGTAAATTCTAGCTTAAAGCTCTATACATTTAGGCAAGCAAAGCCTTTTCTTTCTTAGCCTGAATTAGTGTCAGTTATGTCAGAATTAAGAGTTAAGAGTAACTCACTTTCTACAAGGGATTGAGGCAAAGCATATTGAAACGAATGCCACTAAGAATAAATTTTGATTTCATTAATACTTTGTGCAGTTCTCATGTAGCTTACAATGCCATTTCTGAATTTGTGATGTAAGCAATCAAAATGATGAACAGCTAGCTTGTTTTTGTCCCTCCCCCAGAGTGGCTTCATCCTCTGATTCAATATGTTATATGTAGGCATAGGAAAATTGTGTGAAAAACATGCCAAGTAGACAAATCCCAAGGCGACTTCTCTGAAATGTCACAATGTTGCTGTAATTCCCCCTTTAAGTTGTTCACATGCATCATCATTTGTGGTACTTACAAATGATGTCTTGAAGTGGGCTGTAGCCCATGAAAGCTTATGGCCACAATGAATGTGCAAGTTATGGGCTAAAATCTTTCTGTTTTGCTACAACACACTAACACAGCCACTCTGCTGTAATAATAATTTCTGCTTTCTTCTAGAAAGAGCATACTGGGCGCCTTGTTATTGGAGACCACAAATCAACTTCTCATTTTAGAACAGGTCAGTTAACAAGAATAATCTGATAATACGTTTTATGTAATTTTTTGGAAAATGTATATAAATTTCAGAGAATCCCACTTTTGTGCCTGATTAGCAACATTCTCAAGGCTACCCATTATACTTCATAAAGCAGATATTTAAAGTTTCTCAAATTATAGTCATCTTTGAATATTAGATAAATGCATTACCTGTATAGAGAGGCAGGGGAGACAACTTATGCGAGGCCTTTTAAGCCATTGTGTTATATGTTTGCTAAGCCCTAACAAGAATTACTTCCTTGGTGTTCTGACTCCTAAATGGCTTTTGATTCTGCTTTTGGATGAGAATTAGATGTTTGTTAATTTGATAAGGTGGTAATCAATATTTATGAACATTTAGGGGAAGAAGACAAGAAAATGAATGATGAACTTGAGACTCAGTTTCAGCAAAGCATGGACAGCACCATGTCAGGAAGGAACCGACGGCATTGTGGACTTGGTTTCAGTGAGGTAATGATATTTAAACTGAGAAGAGCCACCTAATAAGGTTCTCAAAGAGTTTGTGCAAATGACAAAATAACAGGACAGTGTTGTAGAATAGGCAATGGCAGGGGTCCTCAAACTAAGGCCTGGGGGCTGGATACGGCCCTCCAGGGTCATTTACCTGGCCCTCACTCAGGGTCAACCTAAGTCTGAAACGACTTGAAAGCACACAACAACAACAACAACAACAATCCTATCTCATCAGTCAAAAGCAGGTCCACATTTCCCATTGATATACTAATAAGTTTATATTTGTTAAAATTGTTCATTTTAATTATTGTATTGTTTTAAAGTGGGGTTTTTTTGCACTACAAATAAGATATGTGCATAGGAATTCATTCCTTTTTTTTTTTTCAAATTATTATCCGGCCCTCCAACACTTTGAAGGACTGTGACCTGGCCCTCTGTTTAAAAAGTTTGAGGACCCCTGGGTAATGGTTTAGATAAGCCAGAATGCTTAAAATATGTGTTGCTCTCCATTCTTCATATATCTGCTTCCTTCATTCATAACACTTTTTATAATCATTGTGTTTTTTGGATGGGAGGCCGCCAATGAACACCAGGTGCAGTAGATTATATTTCAGAGGAAGGAATTGGTAGAACCACCTCTGAGGATTTCTTGCCTAGGAAAACCCTATGGAATTTGTGGGTTTGCCCTTATGTTGGTCGACACTGCACACACGTTTTTGCAGGTAGTGGGTTGCTGTAGCTGCAGCCTGGAAAGTGCCTGCTCGGGAATTGTGGCTCCTAGGTGCTCCACACTACTTGGCTGGACTTTCTCAAGTATTCATTGTCAGTGAGTCAGCTATAATTTAGAGATGTGTGTTACAGAGTTTCATGGCTTGTGCCCTCGATTCATAACTTAGTGAAATAGACAGGACAAGGATGGCCAAGCAAAAGCCAAGGGACTAAATCAGCCAACAGAACAATTTTATTTGAACCTACACCATGTTTTACTATTTGGTCAGTATTGTATTTGTAAAAAAAAAAAGTTCAAATATTGCAAAAGTGTTTATATTTCAAATGTTATCAATTTATTTTTCTTGGGAGCTGATTTCATAGGTACAGATGGCCAGGAGCCCCCGGTGGCGCAGTGGGTTAAAGCCCTGTGCCGGCAGGACTGAAGACCGACAGGTCGCAGGTTCAAATCCGGGGAGAGGCGGATGAGCTCCCTCTATCAGCTCCAGCTCCTCATGCGGGGACATGAGAGAAGCCTCCCACAAGGATGATAAAAACATCAAAATCATCCAGGCGTCCCCTGGGCAACGTCCTTGCAGACGGCCAATTCTCTCACACCAGGAGTCACTCCTGACACGACAAAAAAAAAAAAATAGGTACAGATGAAATGTGTTGTTGATACTAATTGAACTGCCACCTTTGCTATGGAAGATGGTATTGTTACCCATTGCAATGTGCTTAACTTTTAATCTTAACTATACTTTTAAAGTTCAGTTGTGTGTCCCTTTCTCTCACTTTCTCCTTAAAAACAAGGTTGGGGAAGTTTTTATCTTCCAGATGTTTCGAGCTTCTGTTCCTAGAAGTCATAGCCAAGAAGGCTCAAGAGTAAGGAATGGATCATGCAAGTGAAAAGTCAAACTGAGGAAGAAAATGTGTTCCACTTTATTTTACAAAAAGAAGTGCTATAAGAGTCAATGTCAGTGGTTTGATAATTATCAACACATTTTTGGATTCTGAAAAGGGGTAATGTAATAACCCCTAAAGCTTGCCAGAGTACTCATCTGGATGAATTATTGTTCTGTATGATGCTTTGTGGTATTTACTATATAGAATAGTCTTCGTAACTTCGTAATTGTAATATAATTATTTTTGGTGCAAAGTTCCTTAAGACGGTTCTACTTGGCTTTTGTGCACTTACTGCTTCCGTGAATTTTCCTGTGGTGATTGGAGCAAAATTACAATTGTCAGCAGGAGACCTACTTCTAGAAATGGAGCCAAGCTTTTTCTTGATATTTAATCTGCTTCTTTATTTTAGTTGGATGACGATAAAGAAGAACAAGAGGATACGAGAGACTCCCTGGAGCCAGAAAGCTCAGAGGATTCAGAAAGCGACTCTGACTCTGAGCAAGAAGAAGAAGAAACTGCAGAGCTTCCGCCGCCTCCGCCTCCTCCACCACCTCCCGAAAAGCACAGAAATGCAGAAGACGATTCTCAGGCCAAGAAAGATGTGAAAAGCAACTATAAAATGATGTTTGTGAAATCCAGTGGGACATAACTACTAATCAAATTAGCCTTTGAGCAAAGTAAGCCTTATGGTTACAGTGCAAAGTATTGGACTGCTTACAGCACAGACCTTTCTATTATGGTTTTAATAAGGCCCTTTTAGAGAAAGAGTAGCGTTTGCATTCCCAATGCCATGCAACTATTTTTATCAGCATGACTGTATCCATTTGTTTTGTAAAATATAAAAATAAAGTTGGGTGGGAGGTGAACTTAGTTCTCAACCTACTTTGACATTATTCTTCTGTCTTCCTATTCCATGATCGCTATTGAACCTTTTTAAGCTTGTTAAAATGATTTCTTCAAATGATCCTTGATGTCCTTATGTGGTTTATTTTTTAAAACCAGCATCCTGTTCAGATTTTGAATGATGTACTTATTAAAGAGTGAGAATTGGAGCTGCTCTTGTCCTGCTCATGTTCCAAAAGAACAACATTTTAAGATAACTACAATATGTCGCATTACTTTCACTTGTGTTGAGCTTCTGGGATCAAAGCTTTTCCATGTCCATGAGCATTTGAAAAAAGAATTGAGATAGAAAGACTGCTTGGGCAGGAATAATCCTCCTAAGCAAATGTTTGGGAATGACCTTTTATTTGGCTATAGTGAAAACTATTAACTGTCAGGTTTGGGTTAATAAGGTCTAACAGAATGAGATGAATATTTCATTTTGAATCCTTTCCTTCCAAGGAAGAATAGGTACCTGTTCTTTCAATACTGTAGAACCGATGTTGACAGTATGGCATATGTAGATGTTAATGCCCCCTCAGAGATCTTCTAAACACCTCACTGGCTTGTTGTAGGTTTTTTCGGGCTATATGGCCATGTTCTACAGGCATTCTCTCCGGACGTTTGGCCTGCATCTATGGCAAGCATCCTCAGAGGTAGTGAGGTGACCTCAGTGGCTCTTTTCCCTCTCTGGGGTTGTGTGTAATTTGTTATTCCCCTCACTGTTGTATTTTCTGGAGGATGCAGCAACAGCTGTGCCATTGAATCAAGAGGATGGCAGAGTTGGTGCAAGAAGCAGAATGCGTTGCTATTAATTTTCTGTTGTGGGGCAGAGGGAAGCAGAGGCAAACTTCCCAGGTGCAAAAAGGCTTCTGTGGTGCATTGGCTTGACTGGAGAGCACTGAAAGCTGTGGTAGGCCTCACTACTGCAGGCTCCATTTTTCTTCTTCCTTGCTATTTGTTGTCTCCTCTTTGTCCCCTGTCCTGATTTCCAAGCAGGATTGCAGTTAGGGACCTGTAGTAGAGAAGACTGAGATAAGGCACACTTTAAAGGCATGTGATTTCTGAAGAATATGGACTTTTGCTGTAGGAGGGGGGAACTTCATGAACCAGACCAACTGTGCTGTGAGACAGAAGAAGAGGGAGGGCTTGCCGTGGGTAAGAAGAGTGCATATCTTCTGTTCTGGGTCTGCAGTTGCTTGTCTTGCTACTTTGTCTACACACACACAGTCAATAGCTGAAGCTTTATGAGAGTAAGGAAATGAGTAGCAGGAGAGGAAATGGGCTATTGCATGTTCGGGCCAATCCATCAACTGAATTTTATCCAACCTATGAGAAACTTGAGGGAAAGAAAGAGGGAGGGGGAGTTGTGACTTGATTTTGGGTGATACAAGTGAGTGGTCCAGATGTACCATTGATAGTTGGGAAAAGGGCTTTGGTGCTTCCAATAGCTACCTTATAATGATCATAAGATAATCTGGATGTGTTTATTAGCTGTCAAATATTGGGAAGAGGAACAAAACTGTTGTAGCCGTAGCCTTGCCTTGTGATAGCAGCAGAAGAGACAAATTTGCCTTTGAATTTATTACTGGCAGACCTTCTCAAATGATGCTGTCTCGCTTATTCATTTCTGTTTCACCAGAGAGAGAAATGGTGTATTTAGGAATCGATAATAAACCAGTTTGATGGGACTTAGCCTATGAATATAAGTAGGATTGTCACTGTACTAATTCTGAACTTCCAGATCACTTTGGTATGTTAACGTCATGGTGGAGACTGCAAAACAGTTCAAACTTGAGCCTAAACATACTTAGTTTCCTGTTCTTCCAAGCATTGTTTGTCTTGCCTGTCCAGACTTGTATAGATAATGCAGTTTGAACACTGAAATTATAGGACCAGCCAGTCTTGGCACTCAGTGCCCCAAACTCAAGGGTAAAACTGGTTGCACACTGCAAAATCACTCCAGTGAAAATATTTGTATCTGGTATAGAAAGGCAATAAAACTGCTTATGCACCTTAAGGTTAGTACTACTTATCCACTTGATCTATTTAACAACCTATCAGTGCATTAGCTGAATGAAGAACAGATACTTGATTCTGGACCCATTTAATAATTACTGATTGTGACCTTTAAATACATACACAGCTTGAAATGAGATGCCTTGAAGGACTGTCTGCACTGGAATGAACTTTTTTCAGCACTAATTCTGCCTCAGGGGCTCCATTAGGAGAGTTCAGTTGGTGGGCAAAAGACAACTATATTTATGGAATATATACATTTTAAGCAAATTTTTAAAAAATACTTGCTTTGGGATAATGTTTTTGTTTCACGTTTTCTCTTGTAGAATGCTAGCTATCTAGAATATGTAGATTTAAAAAAACAATGTTGCTGACTACTTTCTTTACTTTCAACTGGTATGTTTGAAAATATGCTGCTTTGAAATCATGCTGTTGTGTTTTTTAAGTGTTAAATCATTTTAATGAAATTATCCACTTTGTGAAAATGATACATAAATAAATGCATGAACAAGGCCTCTGATAATAACAATAGGAGAATTGGAGACAACAAGGGAATATTCCTAACTAGACAAAAGTGGACATTACGAAAGTCATGGGGAAAAGAGAACGGAAATATTTTGATATCAATTCATGTAAAATGGTGGATGGAGGTAAACAGAAAACCATCACAACTCAAAGCAAATAAACATGGTCAATTATATTACAAAAGCAGCTCTAACAAGTTCAAAACAGTTACTCTGTTTTGATTATAGGTGATAATAAATATTGCTGAATTTTACTTCCACTGTTTTTTTTAATTTATTTACTAATGAAAAGTGTTTTATTATGACATATTCTCAATTCACCCATTAAATTTTGCTGCAGAATATTCACCTTCTTAATATCTTAGCCTATGGCTGTATGAGACTAGGGCAGGTATAGGCAAACCCAGTCCCGGGGGGCGGATGCGGCCCCTTGGGCTCTTGAGTCAGGCCCTCCTCTCCTTCCTTCTCCCTTCCCTTCCTCCTTCCCTCCCTCTCTCGCTTCCTTATCTCCCTCTTTTGCCCTACCTCCTTCCCTTCCACCCTTTTGTTCTTCTTTCCTTCCCTCTTTCCTCCCTCCTTCCTTCTTCCCTCCCTCCCTTCCCCTCCTTCCCTCTATCCTTCCCTCCCTTCCTTCTCATTATAATTCCGCCTTTCCTCCTGGGGGATATTTAGCTGGGAGAAGAGAAGGTAGAGAGGGAACATGAGAACCATGTTTCAAGATTTTAAAGGGCGTTCCATTGAGGAGGAGGGGGGAAACCGACTTTCTGTTGGTCTAGAAACCAGGGCCCAAGGGAGCAATGTTTTCAAATAGCAGGGAAAGATACTGGTGGTTTGATCGATGGTTGCTTTATACTATGTTATGCTGTGGTTATTTATATTGTTTTATGAATTTTAGTGTGTTATATTTTAACTATGTTGAATGGGCATGTCCCCATGTAAGCCACCCCGAGTCCCTCCAGGGAGATGGAGGTGGGATACAAAAATAATGTTATTGTTGTTGGTGGTGTTGTTATTATTATTCAGCTGAAAATATTAGGAAGAACTTCCTGAGAGTAAATCTGTTGGAGAGTGGCATAGACTGCCTGGGAGTGTGATGAAGTCTCCTTCTTTGGAGGCTTTTCCTCAGAGGTTGTCTATTGGGAGTGCTTTGATTGTGCCTTCTTGCATGGCAGGGGGTTGGACGGGATGGCCCTTGGGGGGTCTCTTCCAGTTCTAGGATTCTATATCAGCAGTAGGCAATACAGGGTCTAATGCAGTGGTTCTCAACCTGTGGGTCCCGATGTGTTTTGACCTACAACTCCCAGAAATCCCAGCCAGTTTACCAGCTGTTAGGATTTCTGGAAACTGAAGGCCAAAAAATCTGGGGACCCACACGTTGAGAACCACTGGTCTAATGGATACACTTTTTCTCTGCTGTCTAACATCTCATCCTGACCAAGGCCAACCCTTTTGGGATCCAAATGTTTCCTGTCTTTTCTTCATTTTCTGCCTTCAAAAGAGAAAAGGAAGGGGAGGAAAGGGCAGCAAGGGGTCTTGGGAAGAAACCCCTCTCTCCCGGCCCATACACCCCGCTCTGGCCCTCCATGCGGCCCCCAAGTTAGAAAGCTTGCCCATGCCTGGACTAGGGTAACTAGATGTTCCTTAGACGAAGTGAACAGAGACTATTCGCTTTATACCACTTTCCCATTTTCAATATCCTTTCCCTTTGTATTTATCGTATACTAATCCTTTTGACTTGAGTATAACATTCTAGATTAAATACTTCTTTGAGTTAAACTGTCTGCTGTATTAAACAAAAATGGCCTGATCTAAATTGAGACTGTTGTGTGGAGAAATTGAGAGCTCAGATTCCTTCTTGCCAGCCGCTGTTATCTCCAAGAATTTGCTCTTTTCTCAACCTGCAGAACTAATACAATAAAAATAAGTAGTCATAGGTATTCTCTCTTTAGTTTCTATGTTTGTCAACGAATGAATTTATTGGGAAAATCATGCGCTCTCCCTGCTTGTTTATGATGCGTCTGATAAGAAATAAGGGTGCATTTATACTGTAGAATTAATGCAGTTTTACACCCCTTATCTCAGTGGTTCTCAACCTGTGGGTCCCCAGATGTTTTGGCCTTCAACTCCCAGAAATCCTAACAGCTGATAAATTGGATGGGATTTCTGGGAGTTGTAGGTCAAAATACCTGGGGAACAAACAGGTTGCGAGCCACTGCCTTTCCTGCTATGATTCAATGGAATTATAGGAGCTGTCGCCTTACAAGATCTTTAGCCTTCCAAAGAGCTCTGGTGCCTCACCATACTAGTTAAAGAAAGATCAAACTGTTCTAATTCCACAGTGTAGAATGATGCAACCTAATTCACCCTGTGGCTTAATTTTCAGAATGAGTATATTATCTGTGTGACTAGAACACTAGTGTGTGCTGCTTTACTAATTTCATTTCCATAAAGGGTCTCAAAAGTTAGGCTAAGAAGTGAACTTCTGTCTGTACTATCCCATTCCAGACCAGCACTTATATTATTTGATGCTCCCTATACAAAATTCATTGTCATAGAAAACCAGTTACCTGGGAGAAGTATAATGTTCAGCATCCTCTGTGTCATACTAGGCATCTGTAATAAAATTC